CCATTGATGAGAATCATGCACAAAGATCATGGGAAGAGCATGGCCCTTGGGTTTCCTCTTCAACAGCTTGTGGGACTGGTTGGGGTTATTTCCATGCACGGGTCCTTGGAGACTCTTCATTTCAGTTCTGCCTCTACCTTAAACACACTGAGAATGACACAAGTTGGTTGCAGGAAGCCCAAGAGATGCAGATGTCTTTTTGTTCTTCTTCTTCTTCCTTTTTAATGTTTAATCTCTGCTTGATGTATTCCTCAAGAGGAAAGAAACTTCTTGCTCCACAAATGCCTTGTGACAACACCACCATCACCAAAAGATTCCAACCAGTGGAGGGGGAGACAGTCTGCTCCTAGGAGCACTGCGGGAGTAAGACTCTTCTCTGGCAATGAAGATCATTTATTTAGGCCACAGGGATCCTGCTGGCTCTATACATGTCTGTCAAACACTGGCCAGGTGTCTGTGGGCAAGGCAATGGGGTTTGACTAAGTCTTGAGACAAATGACTAATGATGAGGTGTTGTGGAATAAAATGGTGGCAGCGGACTAAGTAGCGCAGGGACAGGATTGTACTTCTAAGGACAAATTGTCCTCTTTCCTCTCCCAGCTCTCAAGTCTGTATGCGCCATGCCTCTGGGTTGTTCTGTTGCCTTCCCAGCCTGTTCTGTGACTGGAAGAAAGTCCTGATACCGATTTTGCCAGTTTGGCCCACCTGCTAGCTTTCCTTCTCAGCTTTCTTGGGGCAGAGTCAGTGCTGCTTAGCTGTTAATTTCAAATCTGCCTGAAAATAGACACAATTTTTTTTTTGCTGAATGGTAAATGTCAGGCATAATATATATGTATATATATATATATATAACTGGATGTGTAAATGAGTCATGTGGACCCAGAAATATCCTTAGTGTGCAAACAATTTCCTGGTACACACTATTATCTCATAGTCAAGTATTGCCAAAGAGTGGGGTTGACACTGAGGACAGTGCTGCTGGGATGCTGTGTGGCTGTGGGAACAGCACCGAGTAAGGTCAGGCTTGGCTGTGTGGCACCAAGTAAGGTCAGGATTGGCTGGATGGCACTGAGTAAGGTCAGGATTGATTGGATGGTGGAGCCTGGTGGGGGGACCATCTGTTGACCGACATTGATAGGTACCCACTGTCCTGGACTGATATCCTTAAGCCACTCATTACTGCCAATCATCTGGTGTCATCTCAGCAAAAAAGGACAAAAACCATTGGGTAGGGCCGGTTTAGGTCTCTAAAGTTGGATTGTTCTTTTATTTAATATTTTTTTTTTTATTGACTCACTGTAAGATAGACCCTTACAAAGCTGTTCATGATTGGATTTCAGTCATACAGTATTCCAATACCCATTCCTCCACCAGTGTACATTTCCAGCACCAGTGTCCCCAGGTTCCCTCTCATCATCCCCCCGACCCCAACCCTCAGCCTGACTCAATGGCAGGTGCTTTTCTTCTTTCTGTGTCTCTGTCTCTGTCGCTGTCTCTGTCTCTTTCTCTCTGTTTCTGTCTCTGTTTCTCTCTCTCTCTCTCTCTCTCTCTCTCTCTCTCTCTCTCTCTCTCTCTCTCTCTCTCCCTCATCCCCCCTTTTGGGCATTGTGGTTTGCAATATCGATACTGAAAGGTTATCAGGAAGACCCCTTTACCTACTTTTAACACTCAGATCTTGTCCGGCATAATCATCCCCAACTATTATTGTCTTATTGGTATTTTCTCTATCTTACCCTGTGGCACCCCTACCCCCCACATTTGTGGTTAATTCCAACCACTGACCAGACCTTATAGTCCCTGTTTTCCTTGGCCATGGATATTAGTCTTCTACTTTATAATTTTTATATACCACAAATGAATGAAGTCATACTGTATCTGTCCCTCTGATGCATTTCACTCAGCATGATGATATTCTCCATATCCTTTCATTAATAGGCAAATTTCATGACTTCATTTTTCGTAATAAGCTGCTGAGTTGTTAAGAGGACAGACCTGTATTTTATGGAGATCTTTTATCCGTGTCCTAGAAAACACACATGCAACATTAAATTGCTCATTTACTAAGAATCCAGTTCAGCTCTTTCGTTTTAATCTTCTGCCCTGTGTGAACAAATGGAGTTCCCTTTCCTATTTTAATATGTTAGTTCAATTAACCCCCCTAATAGGTGTGCACGGTTAGGATTCTAATCATTCTGATTATATTTGTATGGAGGAACTGATGCACAGAGAAATATTTTAAGATCTCATAGTTGCTAAATGTTGAAACTAAAAATTTGTTTTGTTTTGAGGTCACACCTGGCAGTACTCAGGGGTCACTCCTGGTGGTGCTAGGAAGACCATAAGCAGTGCCAGGGATTGAACCGGAGTTGGCAGCATGCAAGGCAAGTCCCTTACCTCCTGTACTATCTCTCTGGCCTATGAACATTTTTTGTTTGTCATTTTGGGCCACACCTCTCAGTGCACAGGATTTTCTCATGGTTCTGTGCTCAGGGATCAACCCTGGCTATGCTCAGGGAATTAAATGGGGTGTCAGGGATGGAACCAGGATCCCACATGTTTGAGGTAAGTGCTTCATCCCCTGTACTGCGTCTCTGGTGCCTGTGTATGAAATTTAGAATGTTGGACTTCAGAATTTCTGTGTGTGTGTGTGTGTGTGTGTGTGTGTGTGTGTGTGTGGTGTGGTGTGTGTGTGTGTGCATGCGCGCGCACGTGCGTGCATTGTTCCAGACCTTTGTGCCACCTCTCTGGCCTGGAGTTTTATTTATTTATTTATTTATTTTTTCAGTGCTTTCTAGCTTTTTCTTTTTCTTTTTTAGACTTACAAATTTTTGTGCTTGGGTTTCAACTATACAATGATCAAATACCCATCCCTCCACTAGTGTCCATTTCCCACCACCACGGATCCCAGTATGACCTGGAGTTTTAAAGCACCACACTGTGTTGCCTCATGAGATGGTACTGAACAGAGACCAAATTGTGAGAGAAGACATGCAAGAAGTTTTCTAGGGGACAATGCCCCAGGTGGGTGCAAAGGGCAAAGCCAGCATGGCAGAGCTGCAGACAGACTTGGGGGAAGAGTGGAAGTATCAAGATGAACACGTGGGGCTCTTGGGGATGATTTCATTGATGAAAATCAGGGAGGAGGTCTTTCCACTGATACGATGTAATAAGATTCAAGCCAGGGTTTTTCAACCAAGTGCCATCCACCCCTAGGATATTCCCAGGGGGCAGAGGTGAAAACTGAAATGGGAACCACAGCATGAAACGGACCAGTAGGCAGAGAGTCACTGGAAGGAAACAAGTTCAGAAAATGGGTCACAGTGGGACAAAGTTGAGAAACGCTGATTGAAACAAACCTGATGGCTTCTGGAGGAGGGTTGAGGCAAGCTCTTAAAAGTTTCACATAAAATAACACTCAAATTCAAGACATACGTAAAGTTACACATTGTCTTTGGAATGACTTTCTATATGTGTATTAGCCAAGTAAGCATTAGATTCCAAGAAGAGATGCTCAACTACTGAATCACCCCAAGGCATCTGGAGAGATTTGGACACAGGGGATGCATTTGGTTTCTGTGGGTGTCACCACCCAGTGATGCCTCTGTCCGAGTCCCAATGTGCCATGGGAGTGCCCGACCATCCTTTCTTCCAGTGACTTCCTCCTTCACTGGTCTGACCATCAGTGACTTAGGTCCTTGTCACCCATCTGGAAGAAGGCTGGCAGAACAGCCCAGGACCCGTGGCTATTTGACTTGCCCTGTGCCACTTGTACCAGCTGGGCTCCAAAATCCTGCATCTCAGCCCCACCGACCAACCCAGTCGAGGCATTCCCTGCCTCTAGCCGGTGACGCCTTCTCCAACAGCAGGCACTGGGCAGTAGACAGGTGCTGTGTGTCTTCACTGCACCAATGATGGCCACCTGATGGATCAGCTCTGCTGTCCTGCAGAGAGGTTGGGAGGCTGCTGTGGGCTGCACTGCCTTTTCCTGTACAGGCTGAGTTAGCGCTCGGCTCTGTTCTGCCTCCCTCTCTCCTAGGCGATGGGCAGCCCAGCTCACAGTGGAAGTGAGAACTGGGCACAGCTGGTCTGAAGTCAAACCCAGCAGAATCTGCTCAAGGCTGCCGGAGAGGGCAGAAGACAAAAGTGTCCAGTGTGACTCCCGGGCCTGAGTGATAAAAAGAAACTGAGGGGAAGAAGCAGGTAGGTCAAGGTGCAGCACTGGTTTTGGACAAGATGTGTTTGAAATGCCCAGCAGAGCTTGAATACTCATGTGACAGATGAGCCTGCAGTTTTGGGAGTTCTTAAGACTTTGCCTGAAATGATCAGCTCAGTAACCTGAGAAACAATGTCTACCCACCTGGTTAGCATCAGAAGCCTTTCGTTTAGGGTAAGGTTAGAATATACTCACAGTGTACTAGGATGTTTGTAAATGAAGGAAAAATAATTTAGAGATGAAACCGAAATTCTGATATTCTTGAGCCAGAAGAGTGGTTTTGAAGGTTGGAGTTGAGAGAATCAGAGAACAAAGGTTCCAGGTTTTCTATGGCTGAGCATGGTCAGATAGGGACTCCAAGAGAATGCTCTTAGATTAGAAATCAAAACAAAACAGAAAATGCAGGGCCAGAAAGAAGGAGATTGCTCTGAGTGAAGTGCTATTGCTGAGTATTTCTTCACATGTTTCAGGTTCTTTGTGGGGGAGTACCTAGGTGCTACTCAGAGAGGGGAGGGTGTAGTTCCTGGTGATTCTTGGCTAATCAGGTGGGTGGCGATGATGCTTCTGGTTCCTGCAGAGTTGGGTGGGGGGGTCACCTGGGCCATCCCCAGAGGCCTCCAAGGTGTATGATAAACAAGGAACCCACCAAGTAGTGCTGGGAATCAAAACTAGGTCAGCTGCATGCAAGACACATTCTTTCACGCAATACTATCTCTCCAACCCCTCAAATATTTTGATCTCTAACGTCAAGGATTATTTTGTGAAAAGAGGAATCATAAAAATGCACTGATTATAAAGAAATGTTTAATAACATATTTTATACAATCTTTCCAAGTGGGGCATCTTAAGAACTGAGCAACTGAAAGTGATTTGGGGTCATCCAATTCGCAGTGAGACAGGAACGGGAACATTCTTAGATTTTCTCCAAAGTTTCTGGACATGGCTGTCCACCAGAGGCCCCTCAGAGAAGCAGGATTCCACAGGGGACCACAGTGAAGGACCAAGAACAGGGGCAGGAACAGGTGAGCAGGAGACTGAGCTGGCTTCGCCCCTGGTGGAGAATCACACACATGACAAACACACTGACTGAAATGCCAAAGGTGCTACCAATAGCATTTTGTCCTTCTCACTCCCTCCTGCACTTTCAGGGTACACAAGAGATACAGGGAGCTCTGGGCTTTCACCCATTAAGCATTTCAAATGGAACCAAGTACTTGGTAGTCAAATCAAGGTCCTTCTTGTGCTTCAAATGAAGGGAAAGGAAAGTCTACTAGTCCCAATACATAACTTAAGTCTACCATGGCAAATAGTGCATGTCAAGAACAAATGTGAGGCACAAATCTTTTATCCCTGTGTTACTATTGTTATAGAAGGTGCCAATGTTTGAATATGAAGATCCATTATTAGCTGTACAAGGACGAATGTGCATTAGATGTACAAGGACAAATCACTGGGTTCCAGGTTAGATACAGCCAGACGGTGTCCTGCAGGAAAGGCCAAGCCTTCCTTGAGCTGGTCTTGCTGTCATGATTCTGATGGGTTTTGGTTCCCTTCTGGAGTCATGAACTGCACCTTTGGTACCATGAGGGAAGAATTGTTCCTGCGGATGGAGTTGTTCCTCCTCATGGAATTGTTTCTTCTCATGGAGTTGCGCTTCCTCAGAGAATTCTGGTGGGACAGTTCACTCTTCTGGAGCGTCTGGATGAGGATGGACGGTTTCTCATCCAGCTCTCGGGCACTGCAGCGAGGAGCCGCCACTTTCATGGTATTGCCAAACTTGGAGTAATCCACAGAATACACACCTTCCTCCTCCGTGACAATAGACACAAAGCGATGGCCCCACTGGATCTCCTCGGCAACGTAGGAGGTTCTCGCCTGCGTGGTGATACCAGTGGTTTCAACCACTCCTTCCAGAATCACGATGACCTCCAGGTCTTGGTTGGCAAGGTCAGTTGCTGAGATATCATAGAGGGGACTGCGCTTGTCAATCACGTGGCAGATGATCAAAGGGGCCACCAGGAAGATGTTATTGCTCTCGATGGGATTGTCAACGGGGATGTCCAGTTGGTGAATGGGCACCACCTCCCCCTCGGGGGTGGTGGTTTTCTTGACCACCTGGATGCGCACAGAGGCGCTGATGATCATGCTCTTCCGGAGGTCACCCACGCGGAACATGAAGCACAGCTTGCCGTTGCGCACGGCAATCACGGCGTGGCGGCTGAAAATTAGTGTCTCTGCCCTCCTGTGCGCCTGCGCAGTTTTCATGAAGATGCAGCCCAGCATGACGGCATTGATGATCAGACCCACGATGTTCTGGAGAATGAGCACCGTGATGGCCAGCGGGCACTCCTCCGTCATCATCCTCCCTCCAAAGCCAATGGTCACTTGGACCTCGATGGAGAAGAGAAAAGCAGAAGTGAAGGACCTAGGAGGGGGGACAACGTGAGACAAGGCCGTTAGACCAGACCTGGAATCAGGAGACTTATGCCACCTGGGAAGGTCCCATGTTCCTCCTCCAGGGGTGAAGGAATGCTTTCAGAAAGACTATCTGACTTGTCCCATGTCTGACTCTAGGGCATGTCTGTCTGTCTGTCTTTCTCCTGCAGGTATCTACTTCCAGCCTTCTGGGATGTCTTTCTAGTCATGTTTTTTTTTAGGTGTTGAAGTGATGGGCCTATTTTTATAACAGCATTAGGAAAACAAATACGTATGTTTATGTTCATAGGCATTTTTTACTCTGTAAATACTTCCTACCAAGTTGATGTTGATTATTACCTATCTGTGTTACCTGACTTTAGTCCTAAAGAAGGAAATGCATGAATTTTTTTTGTTATTGACAATATTTAAGGTCATTCACCAACACCAAGTGCACACCTAGTATAAGAGGAAGCATAATACTAAAAAAAAAAAGGTAGAACACCATCATGCAAAAAGACGACATTTTGAATGAAAAAGAATGTCCATTGTTATTTGAAAAGAAAAGTATTTGTTGAACTTTTTATTTTGTGAGTGAACTGCTAGAGGAAGGATATGGGACAGGTTGATGGGTAAATGAACATTTCAAGATCACATAATTATTGTGAACTCAAATCTCCAGATAATTCCCCAGCACACAGAAAGGGAATGTATCAGGATTTCCTGAGGAACCTTTTCCACACGTCCATGAGTAAACACTGATTTGGTGGATCCAGGGTGGTCCTAGATAAGGTTTTGGGAAAAGTTCTTAGGACATTCAGATTTATTCCTCTCGTTGAGAAGCTCTGTTCTTATGAATGGATTTACTTCACTATAAATGCGATGTTTTCTTAATTTTAACAGTCCATTAAAAATGCTGTTAGACTAATGTTTCTAGTCTATTCTTTGCCCCCTACTCAAGTCAAGCTGTGCAAAGGGTTTCTATCAGAATATCGCCTCTGTGTTAAACCCACACCTAACAAGTGATCCAAAAGTAAAAACTGACTATGGAATACGCCACACACTTTGTGGGTACGGCATAGGAAAAATAAATGTGCATAGATGACTCATGATTGGTTTTCACCAGCGTGTGGAAATTGCCCACTGCCCCCAAGTTTTGTTAAAAACATGAATGAAAACACATAGTTATTATCTTTTTGTACTTCGATACAAACAGAATGTGGCCTGTGATACAAAAACTAGGCAAAGAAAAGGAAGAAATCCCAGAGGAGGAGCGTGGATCCAACTTTAAATTCTAATAACATTTGATGCTTCAGGGAAGAGTCAAGCATGAATACCCCCAAATGGTCTGTGGGAATGGCTAGACAGATTCATGAGGTGCGATGATTTCTCTATTGTTTGTTTTATAAAAGAACTGCATTTGAAATCCCATCTGCTACCCAGCCCAACCTTTCACAAATGCCTGTGGTAACTACACAACTGTGAGAAGTAAAAGTGTTTCCTTGTTCTTTGGTTCTGCTGCAAAGGGAGTTAGGCTGATTAATAAGAGGAAAATATGTTGGTTTATTTTCTGAGTCACATTCGAAAGTCATCCGTATGAAAGGAAAAGTGAACCAGCCTGAAATTAAGCTGGCAGAACATTACGGGAACGAGCGGGTGAGTGGGGCCAACACAATGAGTTGCTTCCTATTTTAATGACATAGTGATACACTGAATTAGAAAGGAAATACAGAAGAGTAGAATTATCATGTTCTTGAAATCTCATTGGGGAGAGAGTAGATGTGTTTTGATTTCTCTCTTTTTCATCTGGTTATTGCATCTGGTTCATGATGTTATACTCTACGTTAATATTAAAATAGAAATAATGTCATAAGAATTGAAATTAGTATAATTTTAACCTTAAAATTTGCCCCCCACTGGTGGAGGGATGGGTATTTGATCATTGTACAATTGAAACCCAAGCACAAAAATTTGTAAGTTTACAACTGTACCTCATGATGTCTCACTAATAAAAAAAAATTGCTCCCAATTCTTTTTATGTAAGAATTACCATTTGAAATGAAAAAATTGTCAAGTGGATAAAATTGCTTTTCTACCCTCATATTTCCTAGTGGATCTTAGACTCAGAACAGCAGGAATGCATCAGGAAGTGATAGGCATCAGAATAATCCTATTTTATAAATCACTGGAAGGATATCACTTCTGATAACACAACTTTAGTAAATTGCTTAAATGTTTTTCATAGATAAGGGCACTATATTTGTCTAGTGATAAAAATCTTTATTTTTGAGAAACTCATTTTTAAAAATGTCTCTATAGACCTGTTACGAGTCATTAATATCCATGCCAATAAATTTCCAAAAGAGAAATATGTACTTGCCTTTCATTTACCTGTTAAAAAAACAAAATTTAAAATAGTTTCTTTGATTTCTGGTCTACTGATAAGCACTACATTTTTCATCAGTCTCCCTTCGAGACAAAAATTTGTGACCAAGATAAAAACAAGAAACCGTCTTTGCAATGAAAAACCACTGGATCAGTTCAGCGGAGTTGCCCTACTCAGAATCTGAGCTGAAGTCAGCGTCCCTGGGGACTGGGGTGCAAATATGCCATTTGGGCATTGCAGTTACTGAGGGAATTGAAGGAGGCACGAGCTCAGTGTCTGCACTTCTGCTTCCTCCAGGGCTACGCATGATTCCTAACATTTCAGGGTCAGTCAAGGTCTCCTTCTTTACAGCTTCCTAAGAGAATAATGCTTGTTCAAGTGGCTTTGCTCTATGCGTTATGCAAATTTGGAATATTATTTAGAATACATCCTGGGAAATTTTCCTAGTGGTTACTACTTTTGTTTTCCGTTGGCATCGTCCCCACAAAAGAAACAAAAAGACGAATCCGCCAGGTAAATACTCCCAGGTTTGATAGAAACCAGAGGCACGCTGACTTCAGATCCACTTTGCTTACCTTTGAAATATTTGTGTCGAGAGATCCAAGTTCTCATAGCACTGTCTTATTCCTATTCTCTTAACACACTGAGAGAGACACCTGCAACATTATATCTGGCAGTCCTGACTCTTCACAGGACTTTTAATTTCAGAATCAGAACATATCAAACAAGAGTGCTCAGAGTCTCTTAACCAAGAAGGACATCCATATTTGTTCCTTTTAAAAATCTGGAACACCAGAGCTCCCCCATTTCCCCATCAATAGTTCTGAAAATGTCTTAAGAGAAAGCTATGGGCAAATTTCACTGGCATCCTCACAATGGGTTTTTGATCAGAGATACTTAAGTGTGGACAATGCAATGACAGTGCCTCTCCCCCTTTTACCTCTTTCTTTCTTTCTTTCTTTCTTTCTTTCTTTCTTTCTTTCTTTCTTTCTTTCTTAGTCAGACACCCTGGACTCAATGCAACAGCAGTGCCTTTTCCCCTTTTGACCCTTCCTTCCTTCCTTCCTTCCTTCCTTCCTTCCTTCCTTCCTTCCCTCCTTCCTTCCCTCCTTCCTGCCTCCCTCCCTCCTTCCTTCCTTCCTTCCTTCCTTCCTCCCTCCCTCCCTCCCTTCTTCCTTCCTTCCTTCCTTCCTTCCTTCCTCCCTCCCTCCCTCCCTCCCTCCCTTCTTCCTTCCTTCCTCCCTCCCTCCCTCCCTTCTTCCTTCCTTCCTTCCTTCCTTCCTTCCTTCCTTCCTTCCTCCTTCCTTCCTTTCTTTCTTTCTTTCTTTCTGTCTTTCTTTCTTTCTTTCTTTCTTTCTTTCTTTCTTTCTTTCTTCTTTTAAGTCAGACACCCTGGACTCAATGCAGTAGCAGTGCCTCTCCCCTTTTGCTCCTTCCTTCCTTCCTTCCTTCCTTCCTTCCTTCCTTCCTTCCTTCCTTCCTTCCTTCCCTCCCTCCCTCCCTCCCTCTCTCCCTCCCTCCTTCCTCTTCCTTTCTTTTTTATTCTTGAGTCAGACACCCTGGACTCTTTGAACTAAACCTTTTTTTTAATAGGAATCATTGCTACAATGTCTCCAAAACCAACCCCAGAATTGGAACTTGACATTTTCTTACGACCTCGCCCAGGAGGGCGCACGCAGAAAACTTTTACTGCCTCTGTGGGATGAGTTTCCTTCTGAAAGGACCAGAGCGAGTCCGTGTCCCTCTCTGCAAAACCACGGGCACGGGAACATCCCAAGCTGTTTGCTGCCCCCCCCCCCCCACCCAGGTCGTCCCCCTGTCTGCTTACCTGACGTTGGTCACACACACCTTGGACTCCAGCCCGCTCCTCTCCTGGACGCTGTTCTCCATGTAATCATAGATGTCCCCGTGGGCAAAGGCCACCAGCCACCACATGATGGCGAAGAGCAGCCAGCTGCAGAGGAAGGACATGGTGAAGATGACCAGCGTGTGGCGCCACTTGAGGTCCACCAGGGTGGTGAAGATGTCCTGCAGGAAGCGGCCCTGCTCGCGGATGTTCTTGTGCGCCAGGTTGCAGGCCCCGCTCTTGGCGATGAAGCGGGCGCGCGGCAGACGGTCCCGCACGCGCGGCTTGCGCAGGTTCTCGGCGGCGATGCGCGCCAGCACGTACTCCTCGGGGATGATGCTCTTGCGGGCCAGCATCGTGCCTCAGCATAGCCGGCGCGGCCACCTGCCCGGCCCGTCTCCCGCGCGCTCTCCGGCCGGCCGACCTCCTGTGGGCGGGGAACCAGGCATCAAACCTTCCCCCTCGCGGGCGCAAAGGGTGGGGAGGTCTACACCCGCAAAAAAAAAAAAATCACTACCGGTCCTGAAATGCATGCATCTCAAGGCGAATCCAGCTCGTCCCGGAGCGCAACCAGGCATCAAACCTTCCCCCTCGCGGGAGCAAAGGGTGGGGAGGTCTACACCCGCAAAAAAAAAAAAAAAAAAAAAACACTACCGGTCCTGAAATGCATGCATCTCAAGGCGAATCCAGCTCGTACCGGAGCGCTGGGATTCCCCCAGACCTCATTTGGCCCCGACAGCTTTTGTTGCGCACGGCCCGGGCACCTCCAACCCCAACCCCTTCCCCGCCCGTCTACACAGCGTGCTCACTCTAGGTGCTGGGACGCCCACCCCCGTCGGCGTCCCGGGCGAATATTAAGGCCCCAGGAGCATCGCGGTCTCTTTCTGGGACTGTCCAGAGAGCATCCAAAGCAAGAAGGGACATTTCCTCCTATTTTTAGAAGGAGGCAAAGGAAAAGCCGTGGCCTCTGGCGCAGTTAGGAAACGCTCAGTTTAATCTCCCCAGGACGCGCTGGGATAAACGCACGGGACGGCTTCAAGCAGAGGCCGGAGCGGGCTGCGTTTCTCTTTCTTTAAGACCAAACTTTGCCCCCGAATGTCCAGCGTCATCCGAGGGAAACATTGGCGGTGCGGAGCCCCGGGGACAGGGGCCGGGCAGAGCCGAGGGAGAGGAGCGCGCTGGAACCCGCGGCCGTGCTGGACGTTGGGGAACCCGCCCCCCGCCCCCCGACGCGCCCCACCACTTACCGAGCCGGCCTGGGGGTCTCAGCGGCCTCCGCTCCCCGCGAGCGCGCGCCGCCCTCGGCCACGTCCCCCCGCGCGCATCCCCCCGCCGGGCGCCCAGGCCGGACGCGCACACGCGGGACCCTCGGGGCTCGCCGGGAGTTCTGCAGCCCGGGAACGGCGGCGACGGCGGCCCCGCGGGTAGCGGAGGTGGAGGCCGGCGGGCGCAGGGCCGGGCAGGACAGGGGAGGGACGGGCCCCAGGAGGGGCGGGACCTGCAGCCACCGCCCTGCCCAGTAGCCGCGACCCTCCGGCCCGGCCCGACAGGACTCGCGGAGTTCACGGTCTGAGATGTAGAAGGAGCCAAGAAAACGGTATTTCGTTACAAAGAAAGTGATTGTGTCCAGGTGGAATAGC